TTCCATGAAATTACATTTCTTGGGATGCCTGCCTTTCGGTTTATACGAAAAGTAAGACTTACTTTAAACTTTTTAGTGCGTACGGTTTTCGTCGATCCAAACACTTCCTTGATTCAATTAATCAGTCGGAGTTGTTCTTATAATTTTTTGGTCTGTAGGCTTCCTTCTCAACCTTTTTTGTTCTTTCCACAAATTTCTCACTTGGATTTCTAGTTTCGGGAAGTCAAACGTTAGCGGCTTTACTTCCCCGCTTATTGCTCAGTTATCACGCAACTATACGACCCCTGGCGTGCTCCACGCTTTCAGTTCCCTTTAACAACGAATCCCGTAGGTGGAGTGACGTTTGCCATTAAGGAAATCCTACTGTAAACTAGTCCGACTGCTATCCATGGTAAATGACCAACGCAAGTTCACGCCTTAGTTCCAATCCCCACATGCACATTAAATACTTCAAAAAAAACTGGCTTTTCTCGTCACTGCTGGTCGACATTCTCCTACAGCGGCATGCCTAGGACCACGCCACATTCGCCTCGCTACCGAGCTTACATGCTGCATGCACTTTTGGACCAAGCGCGCATTCATGAGGCACTATGCTTAGTATGCATGCATATGCTTAGTTTTTTGCAGTTTCCGGGATGCTGTTATTCGATAGGGGACTTATCGATCCGCTAGCCTGGATCAAAGGACGTACGCGCTCAGGTACGAATTGTTGTCAGTCTTTCGGATTAAAAATCTGGGTGGTTCGACAGTTGATTCCAACGACGTCCGCCGTGTGTTCCACAGCCTGGTGGTGGTGCAAAGATGGTCACTAGATCGCGTGAATTAGTTTTAAAGTGCTAGTAGATTTGCGTTGTATCTACCACACTCCATATTTCTTCAACCTCAAGCGGACAACTATCCTTGATAAAGGGGAGCCGTTAATTGGCAGTGGCATAGCGACTGTAGCCTATAAATACTGATGCCCTGTGTATGAAATATCCGTTTCTGGTATTGTCTCCAATAATTGATCTGCGACGGAATCCGAAACGTCGAGCAAATCAAATTCTGATCACAGCGATCACATCTGCTTCTTCTCAAATGCACGAGCCGTCACTGCTTGCTCAAAGAAGCCGACAGGCGAGTTCCAGGAAGCAACCCAGAACGAGAAGATGCAATTGCCGGAACATGTTGTTTATTGTCCTGATGTTTCGGATTCTCACTTGCGCCCATCATCAGAGACAGTCGCAGGTAAGAGTGGTGACGACATCAGGAGTGCAGTATACATAGGACGCAGCTGCATGCAGCCAAGAACCTATTTTAATTAGCAGATCCCGAATTGATTGCTAGAGGACATGCATGAAGGCTCGTTAGTCCGCATCTGAGTGGTTAACTGTCGAAATGTAATCCTCATTCTCGCTTTTTGTCGTGGTTATGACCCAGCAAGGTGACTTGAGTGGGGCACCACTTGGGGTTGGCCATTACTCAAATCCGAAAATGTCAGAATTCCGGGATATGAATTATACATCATCTTCGGCTCACCGGAATAAATTTGGAGATTTGCCGACGTTTCTGACAGCTGGGCCTACTGTCCTTTGTCAAAGCGAATACTGACTGTTACCGATCAGCAGTTTAAAATTGCGGCTGTAAGTGTTGACCTTGGCTGATTACGGCTCATAAGCCAAAAATGGCTATTCCAGCCTCCATTGTCTTTGCTGGCAGTGCTATCTGGTATCCATTTTTCCAGTGATTCATTAGGTCTTATTGGTTAATTTATTCTGCCTAGGTGGTAAATGCCCACGCAGGTTGACCCCCCAACTGTCGCCTTGGTTATCTTTCGTCAGTAAACGCGAAGGACAGTGACTGTAGACTTGACCTTCAACCTCATTCGACGAAGCCCATTGATGGTGTCGTATCGTTCTGTAGATATAACTAAATCTTTTGTGGTTAACACCCGTTACTTAGTTTAGGATGGCCACCGTGTTTGAGGTCACTTCATTCAGCTCTTCTCTTTAAAGCTTCATCTAGGCATTCACTGTCATTCGTGCTATGGATCAAAATTAATAGACGCATCGGCCCAAGGGAATATTGTTAGAAATTGCAAAAGGACAAAGGACGCTTGTTTGACCTTGTATGACCGAAAGGTAGGCGTGGGGTAGAGGTAGGGGGCAGTGTAATGCACGAGACAAAGGGCGGTAACGCGTTGGGGCAAGGAAAATAAATGTATATATATGCCAATCGTCAGTATTACGAAGGTGAGCCAGTTTTTTTGGTACACGCCCATCTATTTTCCTTTCCTCGCACCAGTTGACTGACCAGCTCGGCGGACAGCTCAGCTGCAGGATCAAGGTCGTCGGCTCGGCGCATCTTCCTCGCTAGCTGACGCATGCTAGAAGCCGTGGCTTCGA